AGAGCTGGATGAACACAGCAGGCCAAGCAGCATCATAGGAGCAGGAAAGCTGACCCCCTTCCCCTCCCCCCATTTCTGATGAAGGGTCTAGGCCCGAAACGTCAGCCTTCCTGCTCCTATGATGCTGCTTGGCCTGCTGTGTTCATCCAGCTCTACACCTTGTTATCTCAGATTCTCCAGCATCTGCAGTTCCTATTATCTCTATATTCTGTAAAGAAGTTTGGTCTGCCAGAGTCATAGAATCCCTATAGGTGGGAGCAGGCCATTCAGCCCATCGGGTCCATGTCAACCCTCCGAACAGCATCCTATCTAAACCCAAACCCCAGTGCTATCTTTGTAACCTTGCATTTCCTGTGGCAAATCCACCTAGCCTGCACATCCTTGGAAACTATGAGCAATTTAATATGGCCAATCCACCTAATCTGCTTTGGACTGTGGGAGGAAACCGAAGCAGCCCCATACAGACACAGGGAGAACAGTCAAACTCCACACAAACAGTCACCCAAGGCTGGAATTGAACCCGGGTCCGTGGCGCTATGAGGCAGCAGTGCTAACCACTGAGCCACTGTGTTGTCCACCTTCTACCCATGGGTTTAAGAATCATACACACACAGTTTGCTGACTTACTCTCCCTCTCCCTCTCTCTCTCTCTCTCCCCCTCTCTCTCTCTCTGTTCCCATCTTATGTGTCTTTATGGATGAAGCTTCATTCCCAGTAATTTAATGCAACAGTGCACTACATATCCAATACCTTGACGCCCGGAAAGGCCTTTGAAAATTTTCCGTCACAAGCAAACAGACTGAATTAGTTTGTTTCTCCTTTTTTTGGGCCGTCTTTATATCTTTCTATACAGATGTGCCTAGACTCTTATAAATATGTATATAATGTGTTACAAGCTAAATTCAGTCAACTTATTTCTTCTTGTATCTTATTTCATTTTTTCCAACCTATTTATGCCTGCTCTTCAAAAATCCCAGGAGTGCTGTCATCACTTTCTCAGCATATCCTTTATCCAAATCACCCTAAGCTTGCAAGTTGCAGCTTCTCCGTTTTCAGCCATGAGTTCAAATGCTGTACTTATCCAGTGTGATACTGAGATCGTCCAGCTGAAAGCAGGAAATACGCAATGAATGTCAGTGGTCTTGGAAAGAAACAGGCAGTGTTTCATTTGAAACAGTAGCCTTTCTTTCTCTTTCGTATGCTTCTACCTTTTCTTTAGATTATCAGCATTTACAATTACGCCTTTTGTCATTGAATTGTAGCAGTTCTTTCACCAGGTATTTCTTCTAACCGCTTTTGAATCTGCTCTCTTAGATACAGAACATATATTATGTAACAAGTCATACAAAGCTTTCATTTCCAAACAGCTGCCAACTTTTTCAATTATAAATTCCTATGCCTACAGTTATAATGGCAACAGACTATGTGAATTTGTCATCTTCAATTACACTCTCCCACCATTTGTTTCCCTATTTCTTTCTAAGCAATAGCCTAATCTTTTACTGTGCACTCTTCAATACTGAGACTGGAAAATATTACCCTATCTCCGACTGGTATCTTTTCCCTTTCCCTTACCCTTTTTAATTTTTTTTTGGATGTTAATGAAACTTGCTTTGATTCTGATTGTTAAATTCTGACCTCCAGCTGTTGATGTGTGGGACTGGCAACATCAATGTACCTGATTTCAAGACCCATGCTGTCATTGTTGGAGGGACCTGGCACTTCAGAGAGAAGGTAAACCAGAGCGAATGACAAATTGTGGAGCTATAACAGGGGTTGTTGGTACAGCTCAGGGCTTTCAGTATTGGAAGCAAACAAAGGGTTTTTTTATGAAACACAAAATATTTGAAATGTTTAGCCCCAAAAAATGCTTTGGGTGTATGTTCTTTATTTCATCAGAACAAACTTTTAACTACTTAATTCACCATTTACAAATGTTTATTATAGCAATCATCTGAAATGGGGCAAGTCTTGCTTGCATTTGTATGTTGGATGATGGGGAGAGGTCTCAATGTCAGTGGAATGACAAATATTTTTTAATTGTCATGATCGAGGAATAGAGAATGTCTCATTCAGGAGCTTTGATGTCCAGGAACTGCAGCCAGAATAGTGACATAAGAACATAAGAACTTGGAGCAGGAGTAGGCCGTCCGGCCCTTCGAGCCTGCTCCGCCATTCAATAAGATCATGGCTGATCTTTTCACGGACTCGGATCCACTTACCCATGTTCTCACCGTATCCCTTAATTCCTTTATTGTTCAAAAAAAGATCTACCTTATCTTTAAAAACGTTTACTGAAGTAGCGTCAACTACTTCACTGGGCAAGGAATTCCATAGATTAACAACCCTCTGGGTGAAGAAGTTCCTTCTCAATTCAGTGCTAAATCTGCTCCCTCTAATCTTGAGGCTATGCCCTCTTGTCCTAGCTTCACCTGCCAGTGGAAACATCCTCTCTACTTCTATCTTATCTATTCCCGTCATAATTTTATATGTTTCTATAAGATCCCCCCTCAATCTTCTGAATTCCAATGAATATAATCCCAATCTACTCAGTCTCTCCTCATAAGCCAACCCCCTCAACCCCGGAATCAACCTAGTGAACCTCCTTTCCACCGCCTCCAGTGCCAGTACATCCTTTCTCAAGTAATCAAATCATAGTTGTGAGTAAGATAGTCAAAATTCTTAAAACTCTGCTGTTTCTCTTTTTTTCCCCACCCCACCCACAGGTAATGAAGTGGTTCTGGACAGTAGTGTCCAGTTTTACACAGGAAGAGCTTGCTCGATTGTTGCAGTTCACAACTGGGTCTTCCCAACTCCCTCCAGGAGGATTTGTGGCAATGTGCCCATCTTTTCAGATCATAGCAGCGCCTACACAGAGTACCTTGCCCACAGCCCATACTTGGTAAGTAGCTAGGCAAAAGGAATACTGCTGGGCTGTAGTTGCGTGCATATGGCATATGCATTTTCTCCTGAGGTTCTCTTTTCCAGCCACTGAAAATGGCACTGTGCACTTCTTTGCATCCACTCAATTCTCTGCCTGAAGAACTACCTCCTAATCTAAAGTTAGGAAACACTTCTTGGCAAGCAGAGTGGTGGAAATGTGAAACACACTGCTACAGAAAGCTTAACTCCATAAATAGCTTAAAAAGCCTGAGATTGACAAATCATTGCAAGACAGAAAGGCATTCAAACATACACGGAGCCAAGGTGGCTGGATAAAATTTAGATACAGATCGACTATGATCTCATTGAATAGTGGAGCAGACTCGAGGGACTGAATAGCCGATTTCCTGTTTCTGCGCTTATTTTTCTTCTTTCATGGGATGTGGGTGTTGCTGGCAAGGCCAGCAATTGTTGTTCAACCCTAATTGCCCTTGAACTGAGTGGGTTGATAGGCCATTCCAGAGACAATTAAAAGCCAACCCGCATTGCTGTAGGTCTGGAGTAGCATGTAGTCCGGACTAGGTAAAGAAAGCAGACCTCCTTCCTTTTAAGGACATGAGCAAACCAAATGTTTTTCTTTAATGACAATTGATGAATAGTTTCATAGCTACCTTTACTGAGGTCAGTTTCCAATTCCAGATTGATCAACCAAATTCAAATCCACCAACTTGTCCAAACGTGCAGATTAGGTGAATTGGCCATGCTAAATTGCCCAATAGTGTCCAGGGATGCGCAAGTTAGGTGTATTAGCCATGGTAAATTCGGGGTACAGGGATAGGGTTGGTAGGCTGAGTCTGGGAGGGATGCTGTTCGGAGTGTTGCACACTCAATGGGCTGGACGGCCTCTTTCCACACTGTAGGGATTCAATAATTGTAACTTCAACAGTGACATCAAATCATAATCGTGAATAAGATAGTCAAAGTTCTTAAAACTTGAACTCTTGCCCCATTAATTTAGTTTACTAATTCAATGAGGTTACCACTCTGCCCTTATAAATGCTGTCGGCACCACTTCTCAGATGAGCAAAAGTTATGAAGTGTAGTACACAACTGAAATTGCCTTTTCAATAGCAGAAACCCTAGGGCTTGGGGCTGAGCTAAGGGCACCAGTAGCAACAGCAGTCGGTAATGAGAGGGCTTGGGGAAAAAGAATTGTTCCTCTCCTTTCCTTTCATAGGAGCACAGACGAGGTTTTTAGGAAAGTGCATGATGCACAAGGAACACTAGATAGGAATAGGAACAGGCAACTAAGTCTCATCATAGCTATTTCTTGGGCCTCATGGTACTTGAAAATGTGGTGAATTGGATCCATAGTTGGTTCAGTGACAGAAAATAAAGGATAAAGTTTGATGGATAAAGCAATTTCCAGGGATGTTTCACAGGGCTCAGTGTTGAGTCCCTTGTTGCATATATATATATGGTTTGGATTTGAATGTGGATTTGGAAATCTGCAGATGTCACAAAAGTTGGCCACATAGTTGATAGTGAACAGCTTGCTGTTGACTGTAGAATGATATCAATCATTTGATTGAGTGGTTGGAAAAGTGGTAGATGAAATTCAAACAGGCAAAGTGTAAGATGACACCTTTGGGGAGGGCAAACAAGGTAGAAACCCTCAACTAATTTCAAGAGTGCCTGGATTTGAGGAGCGACTGGCCAGGTGCTAGAAGGTGGGATAAGAAATGAACAGTGAACCTTTCTCCCATTTGTAGCTGATTGGCCTCTTTCTGTGTGATAATTCTTCAGTGGTTTGAATATAGGCCTTTGATGCAATGCCTCCGATGCAAGTTTATTCTTCTCTAAACATGAATACTGTATTGTTGGTGTGGTCTTGGCAAAGTTTGTACAATTGCAGAAACACTTCCTCCTCCTTCTCCAATCCCCTTTACTATAAAGCCTGAAGTGCCATATGCCTTCCTGATTACTACTTGTGCCTGCAAGTTAACTTTCTAGATTTCTTGTACAATCATGCCCAAGTCTCTCCGAGCATCAACATTTGTAAGTTTTTCACATCCTTTTTAGGAAAAAGTCTGCTTTTTTGCTCTTAAACCATATAGAATAACTTCCGCACATTATATTCCATTGCCAACTTAGGTATCTCTCCTGTAACCTCTCTGTCATTCTCACAACTTGTATTTTCATCTAGTTCTGTAACATTCAACAAAAATTGATACATTACACTCTGTTTCTTTCTCTCAGACACTAGCATAGAGCATAAAGATCTAAGCCTCCAGCACTAATTCTTGTAACATACAGCTGTTCAGTCTGCCAACCTGAATAAATACACTATTTGTGCTTCTTCTTTGCTTTATTTCCTATCCATTAACAAATCCTCTTTCTGTGCTAATTTACCAAACCAATTTATGAATCCTTATGTAGGACGGGGTCATGGGGTATAAAGAAAAGCATAATGTGAATAGCAATGAAATGTAGAGGAGTGTACATAAATGGAGGAATTGGTGTTTGGAATGAAAAGTAAAGACTGCTGATAAAAGGGTGTGATAAATTCTAAAACAACTTCTCCAATGGATTTTCAGAAAATTAGGCATTTCAGGGAATATTACAGTACTCCATAGATTATTTTTTTCCTTTAAACCCCATTTGTGCAGATACCAGGACAATATTTCAAATACTAATAAAATGATGCCTGTGGTTGATCTCCAAAGCACGGGTTTTGTTAACAATAGTGGAGCAAAGAGTGTATTAACTGTGAATGAATGATTTTTGTATTGACCAATTTTCTTTATTCATATCTAGCTTTAACCAGTTGTGCCTTCCCACTTACGATTCCTACGAGGAACTACACAAAATGCTGAAACTGGCTATTAATGAAGGCAGTGAAGGATTTGGGATGCTGTAATCATGACGCTTTGGGACGCGATAAAGTGAACCTATTCTCTGGTATGCTGGGAAAAATACAGGGTCCAGGGCCTGCCAATTTAAGATTGACATGGTTTGCCTGTTTATCTACCACTTCCAAGACAGAAATGGATTGAGCAATGGTATTCCAACCTGATTGTTCTGTTGCTGAAAGATGGTGAGGTGATCAGCATGCTCCACTCAACACTTTTCAAACTCCACCTGTAATGCCAAGCACTCCGAAATGAAGAGGGATGTTTTTCAGGTTCCGTGATCAGTATCGTCCTTCTGCATACTTGTCTGATTTACAAATAACTCGACCTGGGGAGATTGTTTTCAAGACTTGATCATCTGATTGAAGGTTTGTTAGGAAGCAGGAAAAAACATTGAATGCTTGCAAGCAACTACTAAAACTGTGTCAATTTATTCATGTAGCACACAACATTCTTTGTCAAACAGTATTTTGAGCACACACTGAAAAGGATTTGATACATGGACTTGCAATTGCAAGCTATTGAGAGTTTTTATGATTTTTGCATTGACCTTGGTACTAGGCATTCAACTGTGAAAGAAACCAAAAGCAATGCCAGGTTCTAAGACCTGTCTTCTAGATTGTCCTATTCACTGAACTATAGTCGTGCTGTTGGCCTCCTCCTTGATGAATGGCAGTTACAACACGTCTCTCAAATCTTAAAATAACTGCGTTTTTTTCCATAAGCTGCGTCTTGTTGCTGAACTGCTGAGACAGGTGCCAGTCACAGATTTTCAAAAGGGAGGTGCTGTTCTGATTTTCTGATTTTCCGATTTCACTCATTTCCCGTTTGACTCTTAGTAAAGTTGAAGTACAGATGCTGGGAATGTGAAGTAAAACCAGCATGCCGGAAATAACTCGGCATCTATGGAGAGAGCAACAGAGTAAACGTTTCAGGGCAATGAACTTCCATCAGAATTCACGCAACTTTCAGGATTATGTTCAATAATTAAGATAGTGAAGTAGACGAAGTAGGAGTTAATCACCAACGAATGGGATTGAAATGTGAGAGCACAAACTGTCTCCAGTGCATTATAGTAAATAGAGTACCATCTAACATTCACCGAAAAATCCAAAATCACTAGAGATAGAAAATAAGCACTTCTTCTAATTCGCAATTATATGTTAAATTTTTCTTAAGAAGTTGTTATTAGGAGCCTTGTCATGAGGACCTCCTTCAAAAGAAGTGATTATTTTACATAGTTGAGATTAAGCTAATGCATGTTATATCAGGTTGTGCTATACTACAGATGATTTTAGTTGGAAGTTAGTAATTATTTTGTGGGTTATCTAATATGAGCAAAATGCTGTTTTAAAGGCAGGTTTCGCAATGCAACTGGAAGCCAGCTGGGCCGAATGGATCTAGTCTTTTTATTACTACAGGGATATCACAAGCTGAAGTACAGAGGTTGGTGATTGTCTCTGTCTCTGGTTTCAGATCTCAGCTAGGATGATGCTTGTATTGTCTACAAAAAACAAAAGTAGACTTCAAAATCAGGGTTTTTTTCTTTGTTGTGGCCTGTTTTTAATCACCCATTCAAATACCAGTAATAAGGAGGTACGTAGTTTATATGTACCATTAATTATCCTTCATCCATTGTCTGTGAAAAAAAAATCATGTGCATTCCTGCATACTCACCTCACAGATGGTAAGCTTTCACTCCAGATCTTCGAACACACAAGAAAAGTTGTGACCATAAACAATCGAAGCATATTTGTAGTTCACAGCATTTATTGTAACTTGACTTCTTAATGCACACATGGAAGAAGAAATTATGACCTTCCTTCTTTTATATATCTGCTATATTCCTCAACCATGTCACAATAATTAAATGCATTTTATTTCTAGAGCTTGCAAGAAAGGTTCACTTATTGTTTTGGTTTTGTTGCTGGGATTTGATGTTTTCTGATAGTGAGTAACCTGAGTTTGGATGGTACTATTTGATGTCATCAGTTTGGGCAAGTTAAAGTGGTTGCTTAAAGGAACAACAAAATTATTGAAGTAGAAGCAAGCTATAGCATCTTTATGTTCCACATTAGAGCCTCTGCTAATATGTCAGGCATTTACCCGGGTGAGTTGGTTAGCTCAAATGAATGTTTTACTGTTGGAAGTAAAATCATGCACTTTATGAAGTTAAAAGGACTTTTGGTTTCAAACTGCTTTCACTCCCTATCATTGCTTGCCTTTTAGTAAATCTTCAGATGGTTTTGAACAGTTCCTACAAACATGTAACATTGGCTTTGAAAACTGTTGAAAGAGTTTCTGAGCTGAAGTGATTGCACTGCTCTATCAATCTACGAGGCACTTTCAGCCTCTGTGATGATCTGAAGGTACGAGTGATTTAGAAGTTCACAAGGCTGATTCTTATAAGACGTCCATTTTGTGTGAATAATTGTGGAGTTATTACAAACGCAGGTCTGATTTGTGTACTTGTATTATCCAGAGTTTTAACTTTTAATACAGTTCTTCAGGCAGCTAAATGCAAGCTACTGTGTTGTACTTTGGAGATGAGATTTTAAATGAATTAGGGAGTTATCATGATCTGCACCTGAGTGTTTGATGCAACAAAATGAAACAAGACTACTGCAAAGACTACTGTGCATTCGAAGTGGAAGTTTGGAGTGGGAGCAAAGCTTCAAAATGATGCAAAAGTTTCAAGTTTGAATTGAGTTTTGCGTGGAAGACTAACTTCAAAGAGAAGTGAAAGAATGTCTGACCATTTTTCCTTCAGTATCAAGTTGGTTCCTGACTCTCAACTTGGACTATGGGAATAATTGTAGCAAGAACAAAAACAGAAGTTGCTGGAAAAGCTCAGCAGGTCTGGCAGCATCTGTGAAGAAAAAATCGAGTTAACATTTTGGGTCCGGTGACCCTTGTGATATGGCTGTAGAAACGAGTTTTAGCAAATACTTGGTCAAACACCAGGAATGACAGTGAAATTAGTGTCAGTGAACAAGAAGAAAGATTGAAACGGAAATCCCGTCTGAAAGAGGAGCAGAACTTCTTCAAGATGGGCGTGCCTAGAAGAGATATGGCAGTGAGTTAATTACTAAATAAAAACTGAAAGAACTTGCAGATGTTGTAAATCAAGAACAAAAACCAGAAGCTGCTGAAGAAGCTCAGCAGGTCTGCTGCATCTGACCCTTCCTGAAGAGTCACTGGACCCGAGATGTTAACTCTGATTTTTTTCTTCTTCACAGATGCTGCCAGACCTGCTGAGCTTTTCCAGCAACTTCTGTTTTTGTGCCTGATTTATAGCATCCGCAGCTCTTTGGGTTCTTAATTGTCACAAGAATATGATTGAGACAAAACCCAGACGCGACTTTGCAAAAATGAGTTGTGTCTTTGCGGAAGTAAAGTGCAGAAATACTTTCAAAGTAGCACATTGTTAGGTGAAACTGAGCATGAACGTGTACATAGTTCAGGGGTTTCTTTTAGTACCATTGTAGATATTAGTTTGTTATGAGAGAGAGTGCATTTAAGACAGCCACTAAGGGTCTAGGCCCGAATCGTCAGCCTTCCTGCTTCTCTGATGCTGCTTGGCCTGCTGTGTTCATCCAGCTCTACACCTTGTTATCTCAGATTCTCCAGCATCTGCAGTTCCTACTATCACTAAATGGTAAAGCTCCCTAGAGTGTGATCTCTCCTAGTTCATTCATGCAAATAGATTTTGTGCACTGTATGTGTTTCTTCTAGTACTATTGTTTTTAATGCAGATTTTATTTTACCAGAAAAACCACATTACACAGGATTAAATTACAAAGCTTTTTTTACAAAAGGTGGAGCTAACATAAAAGCAAGTTCTCATTGTGAAATTAAGCAATTTTTGAAGCAAATTTTATTTAATTCGCAGATTCTTACAATGCAGAAAAGACCTTTTTGCCCATCGAATATGCACCGACATGACTACCACTAAAAATGTGCTAATCCCAATTTCCTGCACTTGTCCCATATCCTTGAATGTTATGATAGCTCAATTGCTCATCCAAATATTTTTTAAAGGTTGTAAGATTTCTAGCCTCTACCACCTTCCCAGGCAGTGCATTCCAGATTCCTACCACCTGCTGTGTAAAAACGTTTTTTTCCCAAATCACCTCTGAATTTCCTGCCCCTTGCCCTAAAACTCTGCCCTCTCGTGATTGACTCCTTCAACCAAGACGAACAGTTGCTCTCTATCCACCCTGTCCATACCCTTCATAATCTTATCCACCTCAATCCAAGCCTATCTAGTCTCTCCTTCTAGCTCAATTTCTCCATCCCAGGGGCAACCTCCTGGTGAACCTCCTCTGTACTACCTCTAGTACTATCACATCTTTCCTGCAGTAAGGTGACAAGAGCTGCGGATAGTTCTCCAGCTGTGGTCTAACCATTAGTGCTGTCACATCTTTCCTGCAGAGAGGTGACAAGAGCTGCGGATAGTTCTCCAGCTATGGTCTAACCATTACTCTGTACAACTCCAACATTACCTGGTAAAAACTGTGAATGCTCTTAAAACAGAAATTGCTGGTAAAGCTCAATGGGTCTAGCAGCATCTGTGGAGAAAATCAGAGTTACCATTTCGAATCGAGTGATCCTTTCTCAGAACTGAGGAAGTTCTGAGGAAGAGTCACTCGATATGAAATGTTAACTCTGATCTCCGTCCATAGATGCTGTCAGACTTGCTGAGCTTTTCCAGCAATTTATTGTTTCCAACATTACCTCCTTGCTTGTATACTCAATGTCATGACTGATGAAAACAACTGTCCCATATGCCTCTTTAACTATACTATTCACATGCTCTGCTGACTTCAGGGATCTGTGAATATTTACCCCAATATTCCTCTCTTCCAGTAAACTATTCAGTGTCCTGCCAATCATCTTGTTTCTTCCTCCAAAGTATATCACCTTGCACTTATCAGGGTTAACTACCATCTGCCACTGGTCTGCCCATCTAGCAAACCCATCTATATCTTCTTGTAACCTACAGCCATCTCCTTCACTATCAACCACTGCCAATCGTGGTGTCATCTGCAAATTTGCTTAACATTTCCCTCTGCTTTTCATCTATATCATTTATATATATAAAACAAACAATAAGGGTCCCAGTTCTGCTCTTTGTGGTGTAGCACTGGACTCTGGCCTACAGTCAGTCAAGTAGCCTTCTATGACTACATTTTCTGTCTTATTACTAAGCCAGTTCCTGATCCATCTTGCCAAGTTTCCCTTAGTTCCAAGTGCTTTAACCTTCTCAATCTCCCCTGTGGGATTTCATCAAAAGCTTTGCTAAAATCCATATAAACTACATCAACTGAATTTCCCTCATCCACACATTTGATCACATTTTCAAAAAAATTCTAACAAATTTGTTAGGCATGACCTCCCTCTGACAAAGCCATGCTGACTATCCTTAATTAACCCATGCCTTTCTAAGTGGGTATTCATTTGCTCCTAGAGAATTTTCTGCAATAGTTGCCCTACCACTGAGCTGAGACACACCAGTCTGTCTCCGTCTCCTCTCCATCTCCATCACTAGCCATTATAATTCCCCCTTCCACGCCCTTGATGACATGTCCATCCTAGGCTGCCTCCAGTGCCACAATGATGCCGCATGCAAAATGGAGGAACAACACCTCATTGGGCCTACAGCCCGATGGCCTGAACATAGAATTCACTGCTTTTAAAATCTCCCCACTTCTGGCCTCATCCCAAGCCCAAACCTCCCTCTCATCCCCCCAACTCCCTGACCTGACACAACCTGTCCATCTTCTTCCCCACTTATCCACTCTACCCTTCCCACCGACCAATCCCCACGAGGCATGGGATACCCACATCCACCTATCACCACTCCACCTACCTTTTCCCAGCCCCACACGTCATCGTCCTCGTCTCCTTGACCTAACACTACACAACCTGTCCATCTTCTCTCCCACCTATAGAACACAGAACAGTACAGCACAGTACAGGCCCTTCGGCCCACGATGTTGTGCCGAACTTTTACCCTAAACCTAAGGTCTACCTAGCCACCACCGCTACCTTATACTATCATCCATATGCCTATCTAATAGCTGCTTAAATGCCCCAAATGAGGCTGACTCCACTACCCTCTCCGGCAATGCATTCCACACCCCTACCACTCTCTGAGTAAAGAACTTACCTCTGACGTGTCCCCGATATCTACCTCCACTCACTTTAAAAGTATGTCCCCTCGTAAAAGCTACCTCCACCCTAGGAAAAAGTCTCTGGCTGTCTACTCTATCTATACCTCTGATCATTTTGTACACCTCTATCAAGTCACCTCTCATCCTTTGTTGTTCCAAAGAGAAAAGCCCTAGCTCTCTCAACCTTTCCTCGTAAGACCTTCCCTCCATTCCAGGCAACATCCTGGTAAGTCTCCTCTGCACCTTTTCTAACGCTTCCACACCTTTCCTGTAATGAGGTGACCAGAACTGGACACAATACTCCAGATGTGGCCGAATCAGGCTTTTGTATAGCTGGAGCATAACTTCACGGCTCTTGAACTCAATCCCTCTATTAATGAGAGCTAACACACCATATGCCTTCTTAACAACTCTATCCACCTGGGTGGCAGCTCTCAGGGAACTGTTGACATGAACCCCAAGATCCCTCTGCTCCTCCACACTGCCAAGAATCTTTCTGTTAATCCTGTATTCTGGTTTCAAGTTTGTCCTTCCAAAATGAATCACCTCACACTTTTCAGGTTAACCTCCATCTGCCACTTCTCAGCCCAGCTCTGCATTCTATCAATGTCCCTTTGTAACCTAGAACAGCCCTCCGCACGATCCACAACGTGACCACCTTCGTATCGTCCGTGAACTTACTAATCCACCCTTCCACTTCTTTATCCAAA